TAATAGAACAAGATCAGGGCAAGTCCAAAACCCAGAGGATTCCGATAGGCTCTGAGAATTCATGTGAACCTGTAACAAGTGATTACTAACATTTATGAAGTGAGGAAAAGAAGAGAAATGAGTGAAAGAAACAGAGAAGGAAGAGGATAAGTGACAAAGAAAGAATTTCGAGAAGAAATGTCTCCATAGCCAAAGGAGAATGTTTTTATGGAAGATTAACATAATAGTACATGTAAATTCTAATAATTCAACTCTAACAACAAGACATCAGATAGCTTTTGTTGACCTCAATGCTTAAGCTATTTTAGATTAGGTAAGAAAGGGAGAAAAAGCCAGGCTGCAGTGAGTTAAGAGGAGAACGGAACATGACCAAACAGAAAGGGTGAGGGCAGAAAACTGAACCTGGGAACAACAGGAAGGCAAGTGGTGAGACTGAGAAAAGGGGAGGTCGTGAAGATGGTGCGTAGTTTCCTCCTATTTTTTTTTTTAACAAAAACAACTTGGCTATGGAAACAGACTCTGGATATGATCTGTTTAGGAATGGGAGAGAGTAGGAAAATGGGAGAGAGTAGGAAAACTCAGGAAATGTATGAGATTAGAGGAAATTAGAAACAGACAATGCTGTCTTGGGTAGGACGAGTATTTCCTCCTCTGAGATAAAGCAGAACACACCTTGCAAGTCCTTTGTGCCCCATATGACACCAGCAGGCCAGGTTATTTCAATCCTTATAGAAGTCACTCATTTATACTGAGGAATGAGGCTGTTACCAGGTGGACAAGAGTCACAGAGCTAGGTCCAGAATTCTGGGACAGGAAGAGAAAGTAGAAAATGGTGACACTTACAGAGAAGAAACAGAAAATATGAAATCTTGTTCATGGACCTAAAAAGGACTTAGCTCTGTATGTGAAGTAGTGGGAAGAAAAACTGAATATGGAGATGTTATGTATTGTGCTGTGATCAAGAACTTGGGACTTAGAGTCACATAAAAGTAAATTTATATCTCAGCTTAAGTACATACTAAATGTGTGGCCATTTCTTGTTTCAGTTTCTTCACTTGCAAGTTGACGGTAATCGTGATAACTCCACAAAAGTGTCATAAGGAATAGACAGCAATGGAGAATAATAATTGCAGAGGGTGCGCCATATAGGAAGCATTCACTAAAGGTTATGTTTGTTAATTCACTTGGAGTATACAACTGTGAAAGTGGGAAGACTCAGGAATATCTAGCTAGCACTTTGATCCCTGTACTGTAGGTACAAACCCTTGGATGGAGCAGACTTGGAAGGAATAGACTTTGGGCGATCGCCTTCATGAGGGCACACAGAAAATGACTAGGAATGCCGAAATTTGCTAAGCAGCGTGAAAGGCCAGTGAAGAAGATAGCTAACATTTATAATGTTACTCCCCGGAGAAGTCAAAACCCTAAGATATGAGACTATTGAAAGGAGAAGTAAGTGAGAGCTCTCACTGGAGGACAGGGAGGGTGGAGTGAGTGGTTGATGTGACCCTTGGATCAGTGACTTAGGCTTGGATATAGAAGGGAGTGAAGCCAGGAAGGGCTTGAAAGCCTGGAAGATTACACAGAGGTCTTTAAAAACATCAGAAGCAACCAAAAGAACAGCATGGGAGTAAGGATAACACAGAAAGTGAGATTCATGGATAAGAAGCGTAATGAAATTGCTGGATTGGAGCAGAGGTGAAGGAGTGAGCTTGCAGCAAGAGAGAGGGTGAGGGCACAGGAATGAGCACTGTGAGATAACTGAGCTTGAGGGGAGAAATTTGGATTGTGATAAACTGGAGCTAAGTTCATGACCATGGGATTGGGCTTGTGATGCTGGTGAAAGTGTTCAGAAATTGCCACAGCCAGATGGGAAGAAAACTATGGAAGCTTACACTAGGGTCTACCTATTGGTTTCCTCTAGTTTACAGCACATAAAATCTACACACAATTATGCACCATCTTAGGCTAATATGGAAATTTTTTATAAGTCTGGGATGATTTGAACTCAGGCCTGACTTTCCAAACTGGCACTATTCAGCACATTCCTCTGTTCTTTATTTTTTCTTTTTCTTTTTGCATACTGGGGTTTGAAGTCAGAGGCTTTTTCACTGAACTGCATCCCCATTCCCCTCCTTTTTTTTTCACTAAATCTCTTAAATTGCCTAGGCTGGGATCAAACTCTTGATATTCCTGTCTCAGCTTCCCAGTGGCTGGAATTGCACACATGCACCACCACACCTGGTAAAATACGGAATCCTTAAAAGAAGAGTCAGTATTTTCCGTATCTGCAGTCCCAGTGACCAACTAGAGAGTGGCTAGATCATTGACATAAAGAAAATATGCCATAAATTTCTGTTGAATGATACTGTGAAATCCCACATTCAGTCTGTACATGAATCTATTAAGCCGTGTATCATATTTTCAAATCACAAACAAAAGACTGCTTAACTCCTTAAAAAATACAAATCTTAATTGCTATAAAATTGGGAATTTTAAGGCATCCAAGCATTCCTTCCAAAGCACAAAAGCTCATTGCATTTTGATATTTTTTCCTTCATTCATGAATTTAGCAAATATTCATGGAACAACCAGTATGTACCAGGCACTGTTCCATACATTGGAAAAAACAGTGGAAGAAAAGGCAAACAAGGCCCTAGCTCGGGGAGCTTAATTGTAGTGAGGGAAACATAAACAGTATATAAAAATACATGTTAATTTCAGTTAGTTAAAAGAAGTGAGATAAAGAGAACCAGGAGTGCTGGAGCATAGCTCTTTGTTTCTAAGACAGTCAAAAAGGCCTCTGACAAGGGGCCTTAGCTGAGAGCTGATGGACAGGAGCCATCATGTAAAGACTGGGAGGTAGTCCCAGTAAACAGGCGGTAAGGGGCCTCAGCAAGATCCAGTAGAGCAGAGGATAAAAACACATCAATGTACCTGTCTTGGAGTGTAGAGAAAAGGAAAAACCAAATTCTCTTTAGCATGAGTATGATGAGAGCATAGACTCAGTTTTCAAGGACTGTGTACTGGTTAGTAATAAACTTTGAGTGATGCTGCTTACATTTAAATTCTGACACTTCCCTTTGTGCCAAATTACCTGGGAAGGTTCAACTATGCAAGAAGCATTCTGACATGATTTCTTACCTGCAATATGGTGATAGTAAGAATTACCTTTTACTATGTTAAGAATTAAATGAATTCCAAATTTTAAAGCACTTAGGGAAATATTTATTATACACAAAGTGCTTCTTATATAAAATATTTCTACCTTTTCCTCCCAACTGCATCATGTAGGAAAGATGAGCCCTGTTATAGTCTGAATGATTACCTTTTTGATTCTGAATATCCTATAATTTACTCTGCAAAAGTATCTTACTATTTTTAGTCATTCTTCATCACAAATCACTTGAAAATGAACATAATTATTTTCCTTTGACATCTTTCAGAGGAGTGATCACTGGTGTGACATTGCATGAGTGACCTAGTAAAAATCTTCCACTATTGAAGTATTTTTAAGAAACATAGCTCACCTTGATGGATTTCACATAAGGCTCCTGTTAAATAACCAAAGAAATGTATGTTATCCACAAATATCATGCCAGATGAATTTATGTTTGGCTTTTATCAGCAGCTTTATCAGTAGCTTTTCAAAAAACTTTTTTTTCAATTATTGAGTTGCCAAAAACTAAAAATGTCACAATTTACTTTTGAAAAGAGATTTCTAGCTTAATCAAACTATTACAACTAGGCTGATAAAACTGGACACAGTGGCTGTGAGACAATAAACATGGGTCAATAGTTTCTTGTAACATTTTTACCATTCCTTCATAATTTCATGTTTTAAACTGAAGTTCCTGCTGTTGAAAACACTGAAGAAAATATTATAAGCCTTGTATAGTAATATTTTAAGATACTTTATGTAGGGTCAGGGATTTGGCTTAGTGGTTCTGCCGCTTGCCACGCAAGCACAAGGACCCGAGTTCGATTCCTGGTACCAAAAAAAAAAAAGGTACTCTATGAATAAATGCTTGAGAAAAATTATTGAATTTATAGAAAACTCTAGAATACCTCAGACCACATGAAAATAATTAGAAAGTCTTTGAAAGTTAGTACTTTTTTGAAAAATAGTAGTTTCTAAATTCCTAAGTTTTTGCTTAAAATTGAAGTGTTACAAATTTAAAGTTATATAAAAATTCACTTTAATTAGATATATTGAGGAAAATGAAGTTAATAATTCTATTAATTGCTTACTAAATATTACTGAAATAAAAGAACTTTTAATAACATCCACATTATACCCATATAAAAAGGAAGCACACTATAATCTATTGGGTCTAAATTCAATGTAAGAAATAAAATTATAAATACACTCACAGGTCAGGTCTTCAAAGTCTGAATAGTGAGTTTCTAAAAGGCACATAGTTGACACTTAATACTTCTTAAATTTGTTAACCTATTATATACAGATTTGCAGGAGACTTTGAGATGAAATAATCTACCTGCTCAATTTTTTAAGATGACATAGCCAAATTCTAAGTAAGTATGGTAAAGACTCAAAGGTATATACGTGTAACAATTTTCCCATTACATTATTATTTATTAATTATATTTCTCTTACTATTGGGTCTAATAATTGTATGATTTAAAATGCCTTTAGTATACAATATCCACTGAATAGCAAAATTCTACATTAAGGAAAAACGGATGTAAAAATATTCTATTTCCTAGGATTACTAATTAGCTTTATCTCAAAACATCAACATTTTAAATATTTTTCTTATTATCTACAATTAATGAAATATTTTAAAAAATAGACTTGTAATTTTAAAGCATTAAAATTATGAATTTCCAAATAAAAAGCCCTACAAATTAGGTTTCCCTTGGAAAAAAAACAGAGATAGGCATTTTATCATAAATATGTATAGGTTCTAACTCAATAAACTCTGACATGCATCTCCAATGATGTGTGCTTTTTGTTCATATTTCATTTTTGTTTACAGAAAACTGGGCACAAACCAGAAAGTGTGGATTTGTGTGGAGCACATATTGAATGGACCAAGGAAAAATCAAGCAGAAAGAATGTATTTCAGGTAAGAATGTTATATATATTCAATTTATTCCTATTCCCTCTAAATCTGAGCTCTCTTGGGTAATCAAAATAAGACTACCTTCTTGTGATGTTTTCATGTGCATGAACTAGTTGTCTGAAGGTCATTATGAAAGTCTGACTCCTCTTCCTTGTTGAATCTTTGGTTTGTTTTGTTGTTTTTCCATGGTGACTGGTTGTTATCTAAACACAAAATATATGTTGCATCTTGATAAGTTTTATATAAGGCATTGCAATTTGAAATGTATTTGTGAACTGGTTGGGCTCTAACCTAGAACACTTTATTTAAACTGATTTAATTTACAATTTTCAAACATACACAAGTTAACACTCATTAATTATAAGCTACTTCCAAACGTTACCCTTCCTTCTAGTCATTAATTATATTTACCAGCGTAGGTAATGAGGAGATAGAAAGCTGAACAGCTATACAAATTGAATCATTTTATATTCAGTACTTTAAGTTTTGAGGAAAAATTATGATTGATAAGTAATCATATTGATTGGAAAGGATTAGGTGAAATCTGTAAGAGAGAAAAATTATAAAATGTAATCTTTCTCACATGATGTTAACAAAATCAGATAATTTAGCATGATTTCTAACAGCAATTAATAATTTTAAATTGTAGAGATGAATATTTTCCATTTTTAGATAAAATTTACCTATCATATTTCAAAATTAGTCAATAATTATATAGGTTTATTACTATTATGTACATGTACCAACTCCCCAAGATGAATATAATTACTATGTATTGCAAACATGTACCAATTTAAATAAAAATTATAAATAGATATAGGTTTATTTTAGAATTAATGTCATTTGTTAGCCAAGAAAGCCAAAGATTATTATAATTTCTTACATTAAATACTTTCTCAGAGCATTTTGGTCTTTTGATAACGTCAATTCTGTTCTTACATGCTGTGCTGAAATTAATATATTGAGTCTTACAGAAGCATAGATTGCTGACATCGCCTACCTACTCTCACTGAAGGGAAAAAAGTCTGCTTTCTTGTTTATTCCAGGCACTAATTTGGGTATATCCAAATAATTTGAGTCCATCCAGATTAAAAATTTTTTGAATATTCTAAAATAAAAGTTTTCTGGTTGAAGTTTTAGTCTACTTAGGTATAAAGATTGTTGTTTTACCAAGAAAGAACTTGAGAAGATATATGTAATCTTTATTTCCCAATTAAAAATAAAAATTTGATGGAAGGGAGGAGGAAGGGAGGAGGAAGGGAGGCCAGCAAGCCACCAAACAGATTTACCAATCAGTGGTCCAACCCTGGAGTAATTAGGATATGGTCTTAGGGAATCGAGTAGGAGAAATAAATTTTGTTTCAAAATGAGTGGCTGTGGTTCAGTAATACATCCTTCTCTCCAGTTTCTTGCTCTTTTTTCTCATTTTTTTTCCATAAATAATAAAATGTAGAGATTGTACTCCTAGTCTTTATGACAACCTAAATAATCAGAGAAGCTGAGTGTTCTAGAATTATATGTTGTGAGTTTACATCTTAATAATTTAAGTTGCAAAAGGACAACATTAAATTCAAATTTATGGACCTAATCCTTGGACAATAGAAATTTTTGAAGATAGCCTATTCTTTTTCAGTTTCTTCTGGGAACCATATGAAAATTCAACTATCGCTTCTCAGCTTTTTGGCTAAGATCAAGTGAAAATTCAGCTAGGTCACAAATGGGTTGAAATTCAACTATATATAATATACACAGGGTAATATATAGATAGATAGATAGATACACATACAGATTTTAAAAATATGTATAATTATGAGCATGCTATATATATGTGTGTGTGTATATACATTTAAATTGCCTATACTAATGCTATCATTCTAATCTTTTCTGAATATTACTAACCATCTCCTCTTGTAATTTCCCACCTATTTTTCATGTTTGTGTATGTAAGTACATTTAAACATATTAAAAACTATTCTCATTCTTTGGGTAATAATTTGGAGGGTAAAATCATGCCAGTTACTTTTCTTTGTCATGCAACTGAACAATTCATGGGGCCTCATTCTTACATATATTGTTTTTTTCTTTTGATCTTCCTTGGAGTTTTTAGAGAAACGAGGAAGATTCAAGTTTAATGTTCTGCTTCATTTTTTCTGTATGGCTTATTTATTTATTTTTTTTGGTCATGCTGAACTCTTTTCAACCTCTAGGTGTACACATTTAGGTTTTATATATATATATCCATAGATACTTGTTCTGAACTAAGCCTTTTGAGAGGAACAATGTAAACAGCTTTTATAGTTCTGTTAACAAAAAAGCATTGGGAAGGATTTGCCAGAGAGCTAAATCTAGATGACTTGCATCAATATTTGATTAGATACATTAGCTGTTCTAACTCTCAAATGATCAGAATAAACATGATTATATCGCAAAAACATCATATTAAGGCATTGTTGGGTATTTGAGTGTGTGTAAGGGTTTCATTACCTACAAAATAATGAAGTGTTTCTTCCTGACCGAAAAAGACCATCACCGCTTCAGCTGATGTGCTACTTCTGAAATAGGTTTAGAATTCCAAGTTTGAATTAGAGTTGGTGTTCAATTTCAGCCTATGAATTATAGATTACAGATAGCAAATGACTATTGAGATTTTTAGTTCAAGAAAAATCAAAGAAGACCAAAATTAGAACTACTCTAAAATTTGAAATCTGTTTTTAAAATCTTGATGGATTAGCATTTATATGCCATGTAATTACACTGTCTGCAGAGAAGTCAAATTTAAAATGAATGGGGAAACAAACAAAACATTGTGAGTGGCTGAGATATGTTTGAAAGTCTCAGAAGCATAAACTATGATACCAAAAAAAGAAGGGGAAAAATTTCACATGTCTCATTTATTTGGATATGCTGTTTGGACATTTATCTTGTTCATTGTTTCTTTGTATTAAAAGCAAAGTTCCCTTCTCGGGCCAAAGTCCAGCCAAACTTGTGGTGTGGATTCAATCTTGTTTGACTGGCAAATGGTAGCATCATAGTGACATTAAGTTTTAGTATTTAAAAACTCAAGATCTTGGCCTAATTGCTAGTATTTAATATTAAGTAATTTTTAAAAAATGTATGTTAACTTCTATAATAAAGTTTGTATAGGAATATCATAACGTGTGTTGAAATGTATGCACACATAAACATATATCTAGTAGCTTGACTAGGGAAACAGAGTGAGCATTTACACAAATATACAAAACCAGAAAGATAACTTTGTAATTACAGCGGGTGGTGAAGTTTCAAAGTTAAATTAGTAAATGTCCATTGCTACCAACTATTGTTTAATTCTGCAGAGAGCATAATTATCAAGGACTATCACAAGTTTGATGTAGCTTGAGAAAACATTTAGCGACCGAGTGATTTGTAATGAACTGTGACACGAGTTTCTTTAGTTAACTTAAGAGCAACGCTAGGTCTTCATCAGGGAAAGAGTGAATAAAAAGAATTGTGTTCAAATTACATGTTTGAAACATTCCTGCTAAGTGCTAGTTTGCTCTTTGGTGTTTAGCCTGAAATTTAAAGCACTAAGGATTAAAAGGATTACAACATGATCTTAAATAATCCTGAATGTCATTTACAGAGAGATAGTTGTAATAACTAAATAAAACCATGTTAAGGGATGGCAGTATTGTCAGGCAGCATCTATAACGCAAGCCGTGCTGTCACCTTCCCTTTCCTTGCTGGGTACGTTACACATTTACAAAGCTTTTCCACAGGAAGTTCAACCGAGAACATGGCTAAAATAACTTAAAATAATGTAGAAGTTTAGCTTTTAATATTTACTTGTTTCAAACTTGAAGGACATTTTTCACTTAGGTTTCCTTCCTTCTTCAAATGTATAGCTCTCTGAGTTAAATATTTTTCAAAGGCTAGGGAAAGGGGGCTTAGGACAGAGCCATCAAATAGACAAATGATGCACCTCAAAACCTTCCCCAAGCTCCAAAGGGGTGCCCCCTTATTAAATATATTAGAGTCCTGAAGCACTGTAATTAATTCTATGCTGTTTGATTTACCAATTAAATATTTTTTAATTGTCATGTACCATACATTGGCCTATACTTACCAAACCAAAAGACTGGACACTCTTTAGCTAATGGAATTGTAACTGCTAAGGCTAGAAAAAAATGCTGTCATAAGAAATTGTAGGAAATTTTGTCCACAATATGGGTTTTGTACTTGACAATTTCAGATAGGAATCAAGGGATAGGGATAAAGAAAAGAATCTACAGTATGTTTGCTTGATCTTTTTTAGTATAAGGTGTAAGACAGTAGCTAATTATTCAGTTAAAATAATTGAATCATTTAGACTCTAAAGCCTTAGCTTTTCTTCAGAGCTAGATAGTAACTAAAGCCTCATTTTTTCTGATTTATATTTAAAATAAAATTTTACCTATGAACATACACTGGGTTCCTTTGTAGATTACATGCTTTAAATAGAATAATTCTACCAATTAATGAATTATGGCTGATGAGGAAATTGTGAATTGAAGATTTAAAAGACAGAAAAAATTAAATGATTCAAGAAGATGAAAGTCTGTTTGCCTCCCTCATCACCAAAATTATAACCTCAACAAACACCATGACCAAATTTCCAGGATTTAAGATTCTTAATATAAAATATATCTCAGAAGATACATCCTGTTTCCTATAAGTAAAGTAAACCTTGGAATAAGTCCATCATTACTCGTATTTCTTTTCTTACTGTGGATGAAGTCTGCTGGCTACAATATATATTAAACATATTCAAGTAATATTTTCCCTGGATATGCCTTACATTTAAAAATAATTTGATTGCTCTCTTGATCTGAATATAACTTAGTTTAAAATGTTTAAGTAATACTTAAGTTTATTAATGCAAAGATAATTTAATAGCATATTGGAAAATGCCATTTTTAAGCCAAAAGGAAAACTACTGGTATTTTGCTTTTATTCATTTCCTCATGGTAAAAGTGGTGGTTTAA